AAATAATTTTATAGGGACCAGCAGGTGGCATGGTGGTTAAGGTGCTGGACATGCACACATGGCCAACCACAGTTCAAGTCCCGGTGACTTAACACTCACGCCAGGCATGTGTACGTATGGCCTGTTTTCTCACATTCTCTCTCTCTCTCTCTCTGGTCAAATTAAAATAAATGAGTGAATAAATAAAATTAAAAATATAAAATTTTTTTAAATTTAATGCTATTAGGGAAGGGGAGTTTGAAGGCAAAGACTTTACACCTTTAGAAGGACTGAGTGCTTCAAAGTTGCCCTAGCACTGAATGTTACAGTACAGGGAGACTTTCAGTCAAGACAGGAGGACATCTCCAGAGTTGGAAATCACAGTGAAGCCAAGGTATAGTCAAGTAACTGTAAGCTGGACTGGGACCAGCGGCTGGCATAATGGCTACGTCACTGGACTCCCATGGAGTCAACCGCAGTTCAAGTCCCAGACTTGGTGGCTTAAACTCACTTTTGGCACATGTGCATGTGTGCCCAAGATCCCAAGAGGAGAATGGAGGAGAAGAGAATTGTGGCGTGGCCATCTCTCCGGGGGGTGATTTCTTGCTTTCTGTCTGTCTTTCTAGCGAGCGCAGTGTCCCCCTAAGAAAAACCCCTAAAAAAAAAAAAAAAAAAAAAAAAGGCAGATGTTTAGTTTCTTTCCTCCTAAATTTGCTTTTATACCTCCTTTTTAAAAGAGGTTTTTGCCTTAGGGTGCGTGTGCTCACCAGAGATAGATAGATAAAGACAGAGACCGTGAGAGCGAAAGTGAGATACCACCTCAAGGGGATGGCCATGCCAAAATTGCTTCTCTTCCAGGGATCCTGGGCATGCACGCACATGTGCCTGGTGTGATTTTCAAACTACCATGTCCAGACTTGAAACATAGTCAGCCATGTGAGTCCAGTGATGTAACCAAGCCATCAGAGGCCCCAACATACCCTGGTATTTTTATAATAGTCTCAGAAGTTCTAGGAAACCCTGCATTTTTAAATAAATAATTATTTAACTTTATTGAATGATTGAATTTTTTTTAGAGGATTTTGCTATAGGGCATGTGCGCTCGCCAGACAGACAGACAAGACAGAAAGCGAGAAATCAACCCCCAGAGGGGATGGCCAAGTGGCAATCCCTTCTCCATTTTCCTCTTGGGATCTTGAGCACACACGTACACATGCCTGGCGTGGGTGTTAAGTCACCGGGTCTGAAACTCAAACTGTGGTCAACTACATGGGAGTCTAGCAACACAGCCATTTTGTTAACTGCTGGTCCCAATTGATTGAAATTTTACAAGAGAGAGGGAAAGTGAGAAAGCAAGCCACCAGGACCAGGACTCGAACTGCGATCCACCATGTTGTGGGAGTACACCAGTGCCCTTAACCACCATGCCACATGCTGGCTCCACTGTACATTCTTTTATCCAGTCAAGGTTTCAATAATCACACTTCTAATGCAAGTATTCCCCAGTAATTTAGGTGATACTGCCAAACCAAACCACACAGTTTCACAGATGTATTAATCTTTTTTTTTTTTTTTTTGGAGAGGTTTTTGCTATAGGGCGCGTGCGCTCGCCAGAGAGAGACATAGAGACAGAAAGTGAGAAATCACCCCCCAGAGGGGATGGTCATGTCGCAATCCCTTCCCCTCCATTCTCCTCTCAGGATCTTGGGCACGCACGCACACGCGCCCGGCGTGTTTTAAGTCACCGAGTCCGTGACGCAAACCGCGGTTGACTACATGGGAGTCCAGCAACATTGCCATTACACTAACTGCTGGTTCCCAACAGATGTATTAATCTTTAATGAAGTTTATAGACTTTACTGAGTTAGCCCATTATTATTTTTAAAAATTATTTAATTCCATTTGTTATTATAATTTCATTTGACTAGACAGAGACAGAGAGAAGAGAGAAAGTGAGAAAGCAATCTGCTAGGTCCAGAACTTGAACCCGGGTCAGCCATGTGAGAATCCAGTGCCTTTAACTGCCATGCCACCTGCCGGCCCCATTATTTTTTAAAAACTATTTTAACTAACTATATTTATGCATTTATTAATTTTTAATTAGACTGGAGAGGGACAGAGTAAAAAAGAGAGAAAGAGGGAACGTGAGGGACCAGCAGTTAGCGTAATGGCTATGTCGCTGTACTCCCATATAGTTGACTGCAGTGCAAGTCCCAGACCCGGTGGCTTAAACTCATGCCGGGGATGTATGCCTGAGTGCCCAAGATCCTGAGAGGACAATGGAGAAGGGATTAAGGCATGGCCATACCCCCCCCGGGGGGGTGATTTCTTGCTTTCTATCTCTCTGTCTCTGTTTTTCTGGTGAGCACATGTGCTCACCCCTTCCCTCCTCCCCAAAAAAGAGGAGGGAACATGAGAAAGCAAACTGCTAGGTCTTGTACTTGAAGTGTGGTCGGCCATGGGAGCCCAACACCCTTAACCACCACTCCCCCTGCCAGCCCCATCAGTCTGTTATTTCTTGTATGCATATGTTTTAAGATCATCTACCCGGGGCCAGCAGGTGGCAGGTGGTTAGGGTGCTGACTCCCAAGTTGCTGACCATGGTTTGAGTCCTAGACCCAGGAGATTGAAATTCTGGACACATGTGCATGCCCACCCAAAATCCTGAGAGGATGAAGGAATTGTGGTGTGGCCATTGCCCTGAGGGGTGATTTCTCACTTTCTTTCTGGCAAGCACATGCACCCTACAGTAGTCTCTCCATAAAAATTAAGAAGTGTACCTATTTATTATTTATTATTATTGTATTTATTAGCCCTGGAATAAACCTCAGACTTTTCTTCTTTCTCTTTTTTGTAAAAGGGTGCATTGGCTCTACCAGAGACACAGGAGAAAGCGCTCCTCCCAGGCATGACGCCCCACAATCCCTTCTGATGCATTCTCCTTCTTTTCAGGACTTTATGCACCTGGCCTGTTTCTCGAGCTGCTGGGTCTGGAATCTGAACCATGCAGAAGGCCCTATAGGGATCCTGCTACCCTTAAAAAAAAAAAAAAAAAAGATTTTATTTAACTTTATTATTTTCCAGTTTGATCAGAGGGACAGGAAAAGTGAGAAAGCAAGTCACTAGGTTTAAGACTTGAACTGTGGTTGGCCAAGTGGGAGGTCAGCACCTTTAACCACCCTGCCAACTGCCAGTCCTGAGATCCTGCTACCTTAACCACCAGGTCACAGGGTCAGCCCCAAACATCAGACTTTTATGTTAACAGCTTATAATAACTTTTTTTTTTTTTGAGAGAGAGGTTTTTTGCTATAGGGTGTATGCACTCACCAGAAAGACAGAGACAGAGAGACAGAAAGCAAGAAACCACCCCTCAGGGGGGATGGCCATGCCACAATTCCTTCTCCTCTATCCTCCTCTTGGGATCTTGGGCACACACACACACGTGCCCGGCCTGAGTTTAAGCCACTGGGTCTGGGACTTGAACCGCGGTCCACTACATGGGAGTTCAATGACATAGCCATAACACTAACTGCTGGTCCCCAGCTTATAATAAACTTTGATGGAGGGCCTCAGGTTCGGGATGCTTACTGGACCTACAGCTTGAATGTAAGGAAGACTGAAACATCTAGACTAGTAAACTCTAAATCCTAGGTCTTCAAGAAGTTTCTCAGCAGCCCAACATGCACAGTCAAAACCGAAGTCTTTGTCGCCCCCTGGTGACAGACTGGTTAATACAGTCAGACATGTTCTGACTAGGAAGGGGCAAGTGTGTGTGTGTGTGTGCGCACAGAAGCCACAAGATGAACATGGCATTTTCCTACAGCATCTTTACTTGAAGATTTTTTGGAAGAAAAAAGTAAGTAATGCAAAACATTTTTATATTAAAACAAATGCAGATAATAATATTGAATAGTTTATAAAATTTACATTACTTTTAGAGACAAAGTAAGACACATCAAAGACATTTCAAGCTAAGCAACTTGTGAGCTTCAGGCTGTGTCCCCCACACCCCGCGGTGGGAGGGGACCCCTGCACACTCACTTTATCTAATGTCATGGCGCTGCTGCTTTGACAGAGAAGTCTCAGAAGCAGGGAATTAAGTGCTTACTCATTTGGCAATGTCTCAGAGGAATATTTAAGGTTAGTGAAACCAAAGACTTTCTCATTTTAGAACATTTTCACCTATCTTTAAAAGGCCTGAGTAAACAAGAGCTTTATGCATGAATTGATTTTTATTTCCTTGTAAAGTGATTGTTCGTCCTTCCATAAATGCTAACATGCCCGAGGGTATGACATGCGAGGTGGTCACTATCCTAAGGACCCGTGGGCTCGGTCCACATTTCCAGATACGGAGTTACAAATGTCCTTCCAAGGGGTCACCAGGCACTGAGAACCAACTACTCACCTCTGCGACAGTAACTAACGAAAGGACACAGAACAAGAACTGAGGAACTAAGATTATATACAATTAGAACCCTCTAGCCATGTGGTCTGTGGACTGGCAAAGACTAGCTCTTAGAAAAGGGGAGCTACTGGTATAGTATTTGCTTTTCTTATCCAATGTGAAAATAATAACTTATTTTTTAGGAAAAAGCCATTATATGCTTCCAAATCTTACTTATTCATTAACTGTCCTTTTTCTTTGTTGCTGGTAGGTAGAGATTTTCTAGGGTAAATTTTCCAACTGATCTTTTTTTTTCCCCAGAAGGAGATAATGTTAATCAATGTGCCAGAAGCTCACAATGGGAAGCTGACTCTGGTGGTTGCTGCTAACTCTTTAGGGTCCCACCTAAGAAGAGCTCCCATATAGCTTGCTTTTTTCATTTTTTTAAGTTTTATAAATTATTGATCTTTCTTCCTGGGATTCTACTTTACATTTTACCAAGACTTAAACTCGAGACTCAAATCGCATGGCAACCAGCCTGTACCTTTAAGAAAATATAAAAAAAAGTTTTCTCTTTAAGTAAAATAAGAATTTGAAGTAAAGAGAGTCCCATATCAGAACAACTAAAGGGCGAATATCTGTGGTAAATGATATTTTACTGGGAAAAAGAACAAAAAAGGCAGACACCAAACACCTCCATTTTCCCAAGATTAAATGATTATTAAAAAAGCGCGCCACACTGTATAGAAATCAACATTCTCTCCCATAATTCTGTGCATCTGGGACTATAGAAATGTCACTGTCCCTGCCCCACATCTTCAAATTAACATTCTCAGGTCACAACAATAAGTCTTCCCACAGGGGACCTTCCGGAAAAACAAGCTATTTCCTCGGCTCATATTTCCCTGTAAAAAACAAACAAACAAAAAACACAAATAAAGTCCAGCAATGAAGATGTAATCAACCGACCCTAACCAGCAGAGAGAGCCACCTGGACATGTTCCTGAAAGACAGGACAAGTGTGACCAGGACAAAACGGTACTAATATATATATTTTTAATTTCTTTAATTATTTTATTTATCTTTATCCATTTATTTATTTATTTATTTACTTTTATTTAACCACAGAGGGGGATAGAGTGAGAGAGTGAGAGAGAAAGCAAGCTGCGAGGTCTGGGACTCGAACGGTGGTTGGCCATGTGGGAGTCCAGCACCTTTAACCACCACACTACCTGCTGGCCCCCAAAATGGTACTAATTCTACAGAAGAGAGATTCGTATCCTGACAGGATAAGCTACCAGGAACTATCTGACTGTAATTTTTCAAAAA